GCACTGTCAGGATGACAGGCCTCCGTTCAGAGTCCAATAAAGGCGTCAGCGGCTCGGGCAGATTTATGACGGACGTGCTGTATGGAAAGCATGATGGGGGGATGGAGAGGCAGCTCCTACCATTGAGGATATCTTACACCTCCTCTGAGAGTCACTCCCCACCATTCTTCGTCTAATTTCATGGCTCTCACTCCGTCGCAGTGTCTCCGGCGTCTCCTCGCTCCCTTGTTATTTATTATTTTCTTATTGTAATTGTTTGGGGCTCGGCAGTGTTTTATATCTTGTTTGTTTCGCAGCTCCTTTAGGTCAAACCCACATGAAGCTTTACACGGCCCCGGGAAACAATGGTTTCCTTTGTCTCTTGTCCACAGTGCTTAGCATAATTACTTGACAAGACAAGTCACTAATTACAGTGCCGCTAAAAACAAAACAAAAAAAAAAACGTATTGTATGGCAGGAGTATGAGCACGAAAATAAACTTGTTTCTTCAGCATGTCTTTATTTTTCTCAAATAAATACCCCAAAATAAAATCCTGACTGTTGGCAATATTATATATTTTTCATATATACTATTGCTTATAAATACTAATCTTAAAATTATGTAGAACAGTCGTTTTTAGTGGAGTTAAAGTATATAAAGTAAAAATTCAATATATGGTGTTTAGTTTCACCCAAAAGACAGCACACATAATCGGAGCTCTTCCAACAATTAAATCTAATTATTAAAAGAGCTGTGTGCAGCCACAGAGGCCTTAACATGCAAACACTATGATGAAAAAAAAACAAAGATCAGGTTCTTAATCATTCTAAAAATCTAAATTTACCACTTTTACTGCTTTGTTGTTATTTTACCCAGCAAGAATTTTGTCTTGCTTGCTAACAGCAAAACAAAACTGACACTGTGTATACAGTGTATATCTGCTAACATAGTGAGCTGGAGTAAATGGAGGGAAATGTGCAGCCACAGAGGGATCACTTGATGGCGAGCAGCACTGTAGAACAGATGTCATCATTTCTGAAGTGTCCTCTTTTATTGACTAAATCCTGTTAAGATGCATCTCTCAGTGTCCTTAGGATCTGACTGGTTTAATCTTTATAATTTTGTGTCAAGCTTTGTTATGTTTTATTTGATCCGGCCATTTAAATTAAAACTTTTTTAAAAGTTATTTAAGCTTGACAGCAGGTTTTAATGGAGCGTCATCCTCCATCCTTAAACAGTGTAATGACTTTGGCTTCTTAAACACGTAAAGACCGTTCCAAGTTCAGAACTTGATAACCTACAGTTGCACCGTTGGTGTCACATGACCTCCCTCTGATATTGTTTTGGAAAGCTTTCTTTCCAGTCTGATGGGAGTTTTACACCTGCTGCAGGAAACAGACCAGTGCCCCTCCTCAACACTGTTTCCATGTAAACATTTTACTCTAGTGCCTGCGTGTGTGTGTGTGTGTGTGTTCACCTCTGCTGCTGCCAACACACACACACAGGGTATTTTCTGGGGCTTTAAAACCCCAGAAAAACATGTGTATTATTAGCCAAAAAAGGGAAGAAGCTAATCTTTGAGCAGCATTAGCACGGGCAGTGTAGGCTGAAACAGAAGCTAGCAGTGGTGTAGAGAGTCATAATGTGGGTATGTTAAAGTGAGAGGGAGAGAGAGAGGCGAGGTTGAAGGCAGTGTCTGGCCTGAGATGAGGTCAGACATGGTCAGACTGAAGCCTGGTGTTTGACAACCACAGGCTATGGTGATCCATTAACCCAACCTGTAAAGTCCAGTCCCTCCCCCATTGGAAAGTGCTGCTCATGCACACACCCATGCTTTATATAGGCTTAAACCTCAGGCTCCATGAATACTGTTAGGCCTCCATGTTGCCAGCTCCCTCGTGTAAGAAATGTTAGAAATGATGATTTTTACTGAGGTTATAAAATTTTATTTTCATACCATATTGTGGTGAGTAAAAAAAAACAACATGGACTTTATCATTTTGTTAATGGTTTTCTACCAACTGGGGACCTGTTTCTCAGTAGAAACCCTGTTTACTCAGACTTGCAGCTGTGGTGATTCATTCATCATTTCACAAAACCTCAGCTAATCCACAGTTTTGCATTATTAATATTGACTCTGTGGTTTTAGGTCTGAAACTGTGCCCAAACTGTGCTGTTTGACTAACCGTTAGACTTTTGTCATCATGTGGCAAACTGTTTCAGCTTCCTTTAGCTGTTTTTGACCTAACTTTATGTTAGCTTCTGGCTTATTTGCTAATTGTATATTGGTCGACTCTGGCCTCTCTCTCTCTCTCTCGCTCTCTCTCTCTCTTATATATATACATACGGTATGTCTACATATTTATATATGTAATCTTTAAAGTGGTATCAGCAATTGATTTTTACTATAATTTAGCAAATTTGTGATTTTGTCTTGTCATCTTTCAGTTTTGTCTTGGCTACTAATTGGGCTATTAGTCATTGCTCCACTTTGTATTGCACTATTCTTGGTTTTGAGGTAGAAGTTAACCTAGTAAAATTAGTAGTATTCCCGCCAACCCACTATTTCAGTGTTACCAAACTTGAAAAAAATGTTCTGCACTGATGATGTGTCATGTGGTCTCTGGCAATTATTGTGCGCCTTTTTTAGTGGGTGAGGTTAACATAGACCTACAGTGAAGTTCCCGCTTTTCTGCTGGCACAGAAGGTAGTGCTATTTAAAGTCATTGTTATTAAGTAAATGATAGTAAAGTGAAGTGGAGTTATGTTGTTTTATTCATTGACCCTAAATCTACCTTCTCCATCATTCTCACCATTCTGTTGTTGTGTCCTTGTTTCTATTGTTTCTAATGTAAGAAGAGTAGGCTCCTCCACTGAGTTCTCCATAGTGAAGTCCTTCTCAAACAGATTTGTGTCTGCCTTGGTAATATTCAACGAAAGCTTTGTAGATGTACTGCCAGATGTGGATTTGGTGGTTTCCCTTGACAAATGTCACAGTACAGTAAAAAGTATGAGCACACCAGCTAGTAATGGATTTAGAAAAGCTAATGAAGATGAGTCGATATCTAAGAGATTACAGTCAAACATCTTTGGGCAACAACGGCCACAGAAGAGTAGAAATAGGAAAAGATTGTCTTTTCTGCTGCTTAGTTTAGTTCGCTCAAAGCTCCAGTTTAGAGGGAAGACGTTTACACACACACACACACACACACACACTGTAGAGCCCATGTTGATCTATACCAGGAACAATGCCAAACGGGCAAAATGGGCAGCAAACACCCACAAGCAACAACAGCCGCAGCAGCAGAGAGTACATGGAGCAAACGGTGGGTGTGCTGAAGGTCAGACGTGCCCCGGACACACTGCCATTGTTCTGTCTGTGGTTTTTTTTTTTACCTTTACTGCCCCCTGATATTAGGAGCATACATCTGTGTATGTCTAAAAGATTTCTTTTGAACAATTCCAATGACGAGGTACACACGTGGAGAATTACAAGTAGTGACGTTGGAGGTATTTCAAAGCTGTAGAAATGTGATAGTGTGTATGAACTGGATGACACTGTGGACAGTGTGTGTTTGTGTTTGGATTTGACTCTGGCGTGTTATTAGTCTGAGTCAGCACAGAGGAGGAGCAGCCAGTTCACAGAGGAGCTCAGCTCTGTAGAATGTCGGTGTGGGAGGAGGAGATGAGCGAAAGGTTCTTTTGTGTCATCCAAACATGTTTGATGTCTTCCCCTCAGCTCTTACACACTCCGTTCCCCAAACCACTGAGTGTACTGGTCGTTTCTGGTACGTGAACAATCCAGATCAGCCAGGCACATAAACAGTGGGAGCCACAAGAAAGCACAGGCCCAGTAATTGTCATCTAATCTGCCCTGTGACTCTGAAGCTTAGGTTTTCCTACGGGGTGATAATAGCCATCGCAGAAGCAGGTCAGAGGGTGGATGTTGAAAATTTCCCCAGAGCTCTTTCAAATTATTCGAACCTCGACCCAGATTGTAGTTTGATTTTTTTTTTTTTTCTGTGTCGTCTCTCGGAGCATTGTGGGTATTTTTTGAATGAATGTTTGAACAGAAAAACAGGAGAGAACTAATTTTATGTGTCCTAATTTCCAGTTGCCCCGTGGGGGTAAATAAAGATTTTTTTTTAATCTGAATCTAAACTACATTAATTAGGGCTGAAAATAAATTCTGCTCTGCATAACAAACATCTACAAGTACGAAGAAAACAATGATTTTTACCTTTGGTGTGTTTGTTGTTCTGTTATTCAAGTGGGTTTTCTGTTGTATTAAATCTCATTTATCCTATTTAGGTTTTATCTTGTTCCTAATTTCTTCATTTTCGCTGCAGCATTAGCTCATTAGCTACAGCTTCTTCCTGGAAGTTCGTGCAGTTATCTTAGTACCAGGTTGTTCCAGACACCTGCACCAGTTGAGTTTGTGTAAAAGAATGAAAGCCTGTTCTCCAGATAGCTGAAAGTTTGCTTTAAAGAGCTTAAAAAACACAAGCTAGCCATAAGTTAGCCTGCGCTAGGAATGACTTGCGGTTGGTCAAATGTATAATTTAACCAATAGTTACAAGTTAGGTAACACTGGGCTGGACAAAATTCAAGTTAAAATCAGAAAAGCTAAAAGTTATATTATATTCTATTCAGTATATTTGCCACAAGCAAAAACAAATAACTAAAAGTTAACTTAGAAAAGCTACAATAATCAAATTCAGCTAAAGAGTGACAGTGTCCTGTAAGGTTCCCTGATACATCGTCATCTGCCCAGTGATGTAGGTTTGTGGTCACGACCCACGGGCAGCATCACAGCGGATGATGATGATATGACAGAATGTAACCACCCCCCCTACCCCCAATTACAACAGTCTACAAACATCTCCTACTGTTAGTACCTGTTACAGCCCACCCCCCATCATCAACATTAGCTGGAGTTATGACTGGAATGTTTTCTGCAGTGTGTTCAAAGTGTTCTAGCCAAAGTTGATTTTTACTATTTTTGTTTCCTTCCTCACAGATGGTCATTATACCACTAACCCTCCATCTTATGGCTACGATGCAGACCGCGCAGAGGAGCAGCGTCGACACCATGACATCCTGCCATTCATCGACGACTCGCCGTCATCTTCCCCACACCTCAGTTCCAAGAGCCGCAGCAGCAGAGACACGCTGTCCTCGGGGTCCATGGAGTCGTCCAAGTCGGTAGGTCTGCCAGTCCACCATCCACTGACCCAGTGGTTCTGGAATTATGAAGCATTATGGAGGTTGATCTTTATGATTGGAATGCAGTCAAAGATTATAGGTTGAATTTCAACCCTCAACTAATGGTTTTCAAAAAGAGGTTTTTCTTTGAGAAGAAACAGATACAATTAGGACCAAAGAGTAAAAGCAACTAAAATGACAAGATAATCATCTCGAGTTAAAAACCCGAGATCATGTCTGGCTTCAAAACTGGTTGAATTTGGTACTATGATATCATGTCCCATTACCCAGATACATTAAGCTGTAATACGCGGTCCAAGCTGTGGCTCAAGTTTAGCGGTTATTTACCTCGTCCAGCAAAAACAAATATTCCTCTTAATCCTGTTAAAATCCTTCATATGTGATTGAT